TGGCTGCTTCATTCCCACTAGGCACAGGGGCCAGGGAAGGGGAGGCTCGAACCGGCTCTGAGTCACCGATGCTGGGGGCCTCTCTTCAGGCATCTTGCAGAATGTGAACAACGAGGCTGGTGGTTCCCGGGGCAGTAGACTTGGGGGTGGACCAGCCTCACACAGCTTATAGGACCCTGTAAAGCTCTATGCTCAGGAGCTGGTGAGACTGTCAGCAGAGAATGGAGCATTCAGACCAGACAGAGAGGACCACTCAAGTACCAAGAATGGGGCCCACTGGCCACCTAAGAGCTGGGTAACTAGTGACCTGTGTCCCAAGTGCTGGTCCCACTTTGAGACCTTTGTTCTTACTGTTCCCTCTTAGAATACCCCCCCCCCAGATCTTCTTTTTCAACATCCAGTGTCTCAATGTCCGTGACCTCAATTTGAATGTCACCTCTTCGGAAAACTTTCGGACCCACCCTCACGAATCACCCATTCTCTATCTCAGACCTTGTTTTATCTTCTTCATCTTTTCACAATTGAAAATTTGCTTGTTGCCCTCGATGGTGTGGCCCAGTGGGTTGAGCACCAGCTTGCGAACTGGAAGGTTGTGGGTTCAAATCCCAGTCAAGGCACATGCCTAGTTTGTCGGCCAGGTCCTGGGTTGGGGGAGTGCGAGAGGCAGCCACTTGATGTTTTTCTTGCACATCAATTTCTCTCCCTCGTTCTCCCTCCCTTTTCCTCTCTCTAAAAATACATAAGTAAAATCTTAAAGAAAAATAAAAATTAGCTTGTTTGATTGCTTGTTTTTAGTGGCCATCTTCGCCTGCTCAAATGCAAGCCTAAGGAGAGCAGAAGCCTTGGCTCTTATTCACTGCTGTGCCCTCAGCACCTGTCACAGGTCCTGGCACGTGGTAAGTGCCTATAATTTGAGACAGTGAAGGAGAGAATATGGGCAGACTCGGGAACTTCAGATTTGAGTTCAGCTCCTGGAACTTCAATGGTGGAGGTCCAGAAAGGATCCTCATTCCTGCATAAATTCAACAATCCTAAAAGTCAGAACCCTATCTATTAAGCAAAATGGCATTGCTGATTTGGTCATTTTTCTGGGCTCTCTGTGCATCCAGGAAGGATTATGGGGACCTCTTTCTTTCCCAGCCCACCCCATATGTGCCAGGCAGAAAGGACTGGACTTTCGGAATAACATCCTCTAGGATCTGTGCTTGCTGTTTTGCGTGGGCTGGTGGGCTGAGGTTTGAGTTTTGACTTTCCGTGCTCAGGAGCTGGGTGTTGAGGGGGTGTAGGGGTGTGGGAGTGGCTGCCCGGGGTATCACCTTTTCTTTCTGTGTTCCTAGAAGATGACAGGGAGGCTGATAAAAGGAAACGAGATTTCCCATGCCAAGTTCAGGGTGAAAAGGCCATCACAGTTCACATTTATTCTTGAAAATAGTTCCCCTCCCATTATATAAGAGTGAGTCTCAAACATTTACCAGCCCAGCACAGAGTCCATTTCACCAGGAACTTCTGTTACGATGAAATGGGCAGGGCACACAACTGTCAAAAATGTGAACTGAATCAAATCAGAGGCATTTCTTTGACGAGCCAACATCTCTGAGGAGCTTTCTGTTCTCATTTTACCCCAGTTGGCTTATCTCCTCTAAAATTCTCTAAAGACTTATTCTCTGTCTGAGTTTCTATCTGCTCCTCTGTGGCTGGAACATGGAAAAACACCAGGATATTTCAGAGATCAGAAAGCAGCCAGAGCTGGTGAAGCCTGCACGTAGCATCTGACCCAGCCAATCACGGAGTCCCAGGAACCAACAGGGAGCCAGCAGAGGAGAAACCCAGGCCAGATCCACAAAGGAGGCCGTCCACAGGGTGGGCTGTCAGGGGGGCTCAGTGACAGCTGCATGGACATCAGAGTGGCGTTAAATCCCTACCTTGCTGTGCACAGTAGGTGGATTAATGACCCCTCAAAGGTGTCCATGTCTTGGCCCCCAGAACCCTGACTATAAAAAAGGAGACATGGCTCAGAGGGTGGGGTCATGAGAACAGAGGCAAAGGGACTTTGCAGATGTGATTCAAGTTAAGGACATTGAGATGGGGAGATGATCCTGGATTATTCCAGATGGAATCTAACCACGAGTCCCCAACAGTGAAGAGGCAGGCAGAAGAGTCACTACGAGAAGGACAGGATCTCCGCTGCTTGCTTGGACAATGGGAGGGCAGCAACGAGCCAAGGAATGCAGTGGCGTCGAGGAGCAGGGAATGACCCTCCGTTTACAGGCAGTGAGAAAACAGTGACCTTGGTCCTACAGCCATGGGAACTGGAGTCTGCCAACAACGCAGAGAAGTAGCGAACCAATTCTCCCTGAAGGACTCCAGAGAGAAAGACGGCCTAATGGTGCCTTCCTTGATTTATTCTAGAGAGACTTCTGACTCAGAGAACCGTAATGTAGTAATACATTTGATTTTTCTTAAGCCATTAAATTTGTGGTAACTTGTGATAGCATTAGAAAACCGATACACTAGGTGATTCTAAATAATTCCTTCTTTCAAACTGGGTCCGAGTTTCCTGTCAGACAGTTGGAAAGGATGGACTAAGGGGTCTCTAAGGGTCTGGTCGGCTCTCAAAAGCTGTCTTCGATCTGACATCCTGCCTCCCCTGGAGCCCTGACCCAAATCCAGGATGGTCTTTAGCGAGGGGGAGAGAAGATGAAGCTTTAAAAAGCCTCAAGGCGTTTCCTAAGATGCCACCAGGGGGCTTAGAAAGAAATGTTTCCTGTTTGGTCGTTTGGTACTTCCTTGACCGTACCCCCCACCCCCAGGGAATGAAGTAGGAAGTCTGCGAGAACAAGATACAAGCTGCCCAGTCAACTGGTGCGGGCTGCCCAGAACACTGAGTTAAGAAGGACTCCCTGGCCCCGTGGAGGTTATACGCAAGGTCCTGACTGTCAACATCCGCCCGGGACATGGGATGAGGGAGTAGGGACAAGTGTGCCAGGCATGTGTCATCGATTGAAACACACTTTTGTCTTCTCTTTCTGTCTTTCTTTCTCTCTCTTCCACTTCATTTCCCTGACCCTACACAGTGGGTCACCTGCCATTCACATGCCCAATCGGCCAATGGACAACAGTGTGGTGACCGTGTGTGTGGGGCGGAGGAGGCGGGTAATAAGGGGGATAAGTGGTAATGGAAAAAATACAATAAAACATTTAAAAAATAAAATAAGGAAGCTCCACTTATACACAACCACACAACTTAAAGTACATGATTTTATACTGAGTCTGCTTTGCTGTTGTCTAGTGTCTAAGGCGATTATAACTCTGATCTGCTGCCCTTCCTGGCCACCTACCTCCTGGAAATACATCATTCTCACTTGATGTTTATTGTCTGATTCCTCAGTGAGTTGGCAGGGTACTAGGGCCCCTTAATTTATTAGTGCAGCGGCTGTCAAATTCTCACTTAACTCCCCCTAGGTCACCCTGCAAGTAATTGAAAGAAGCCAGATCAGAACGCAGAGGCCCTCAATTCCAGTGCAGTTCAAAACACAGTCCCTGGAGCCACAGTGCCTGGGTTCAAAGCACAGCTCTGCCACTTACTTCCTGAGTGACCATGGGTGAGTCACTTACTCTCTCTACGGACCTCAGTTTCCTCACCTATAAAATGGATGTAATGATGGTCCCTATGTCATAGATTTGATGTAGACCAAATAAGTTAGGATATAAAAATGCTTAGGATATATAAATGCTTAGAATAATGTCTGGTTCATAGCACTCAATATACATCAAACAATGCTTACATTATTCCCTTTACCTAGCCAATCAGGGTGGGGGTCTGCGGGGTGCAGTAACGGCAACATTGACTCCTAGAAACTGTGAGTATAAGTACATTTGTCTCTCTTTGAGACCACGGCCAACAGTGGCAGTGCAAGACCAATTCAGATAAAGACTCCCATTTCCTGGGAGATATTTTCCATTGTATGTTTAACCCACAGAAAAGAAACAGAAGTGCAGTTAATACAAAAAAGGATCAGAATATGGCTGGGCAAACATCTGAGGCTGTGGTGACCTCTTTACCCCTGTGTCTGTCATCCCCCGGCTCAGAATGTGACCCTACCACATCGGACTCCTCAGTCTCTAGTTTGTGTTATGTCTCAAACACCTCAACACAGCTCAGTGATGCTCAGGCTGTGCCAGAAAGGGGGAATTCCGCAGACCTTTTACACGATAGAGCCCACAGTCCTGATGCCCTGAAAGGTCATTGTTTGGAAGCTTTGATGGAGCAGGACGTGTGACTTCCGTGGCACTATTCATAACCTGGGGGCGGCTGAAAACAGGAGATCCCTGGTAGAGCAGAGAAGCACTTGTTACTCCAGAAGTGTGTGTGTGTGTGATGTCCTGAGCTCACTCGGCTGGGCTGTTTCACATGTGCTCAGAGGATCGCTGAGTGGCCTGCATAACCCAGAGAGTACATGGTGCTCCACCACAGACACCAGTCACTTAACCCCCACTTCCCCATTCTATAGATGGGAGGACAAGGTCCGGAGATGGAAACGCCCCGTCGGGATAACTCACAGAGCCTCCTGACTCGGAGGGAACAGTTCTTTCCACCCCCGCCCCGACCCCTCAGGCATCCACCCCCTCCTGACCACTTGCACACAACAACAGCGGTGGCACAGAGCACAGCAGGTGTGCAAGGAATCTTAGACACTTGAATGACGGAGCAACTTTCTCGACGACAGCCTAGAGCTTTGAAGACTATAGAAAAAGCGGGGGATGCAGGAGCTCCAGGACCCAACAGGACTGGTGAGGGCAGGAAGAAACAAGCGCAGTGGTGGGAACATGGGCCCAGGCTGGCCACTCAATCAAAACGAGAACCTCTGACAGTGGTACAGGTTTGTCTAGTCCTGTCTCTCATTCTTTCACTCAATAAACACCACTGAGCACCTATTTGCCAGGCCCTGTGCCAAGTGCTAAGAATGCCTCAGAGATGAACCTAGAATATTAGTCCTTACCCTCAAGGAATTTTTGGAAGGGACAGGGGGCGAGGGAACGGGTGACAGGAACAACCAAGTCCTCAGTAGAGGCAGAGGAGGAGAGGAGGGAGGCGGGGAGGAAGGCTTCTCTCCAAGATACTTTGCACACCCCTTTCTCATCTGATTTCAGTATGCAAAGGCTATTCTCTCCATTTCACAGATGAAGACACAAGGTTGGGAGACAGAGCAGCAAAAAGACCAGGGACAGAGCAGGGCTGCAAACCACCACCCCTGAGTCCAAACTCCGGGTTCTTCTCCCTCGGGCTTTGACACAATCAGGACCGACAACCGGGCAGAAGGCTGTCTCCTGAGGCTGGGGCTCATCCATCAGAGCTCCAGCCTCCCCTCAGGGCCAAGAGCCTGCATAGACGGCAGCTGGAAGTTAAGGGCTGCCGGAAGAAAAAAAAAGGGAAATGCAAAGGTGATGAAGGGCGGGGGAGGCGGGGAGTGAGGGAGAAGAGGGGATAAAAGTGGAGAGTTGGGAGCTGGAGGATAATGGGCTGCACAAGGACTGGACCCCCCCCCCTCCGCACGACACCCAATGGCCCCACTCACCACGGTCGTGCACAGCTGTGTTTAGAACGCACGGCCCTCGCCGCAGCTGTATCGCACCAGGTCTGCGGAAAGTTCCTGGGACAGGGACGGTTCGAGTGTTCCTCTGGGTCCCCGGAGTGGGAAGCGGCCCCCAGTCCTGGAATCTTCAGCCCAGAACGTGCCCGGGTCCTCTGAGCCCCGAGAAGCAGGAGTGCGCAGCAGCGGCTGGGACGTGCGGCTGGGCACGGGGCGCTCCAACCCGTTGGCTCAGGAATTTACAGCGGCCAGGGACCGCCCCGGAAAGCCCAGGACGACCGCCGCCACCCGACTCAGCTCCTCCCCCAGCTCCCCGCGGGCTGCGGACGAGAAATGAGCCAGCAAGGGAGAGCGGAGACGGAGCAGTCTCAGGGGCAGTCTCGGGTTCCCCTCGCAGCCTCGTCACGCACTCCCCGTAAGGCCCTGAACAGTCACTTCGCCCATGGGGCGGGGGCGGAGGCTCCGCTCTATGCATCGTAAACCATAAGGGCAGACCCAAAATGTGTCCCCCAAGAGCCTTTCCGGCGGTACTCTACACAGCTGGGTTTGGATGGAGGAGCCAGACTCTGAGCTCCTGCTTTGCAATGCACTGAGTAGGATCTTTAACAAGAGACTTCGTTCGCGTTGCTGACTGCTGTTCGCTGTACAGGGAGGATAAGAACACCTGTCTCCCAACCCTGTTGTGAGGACTGACTTAGCGCGATTTTCAGCCTTTATCATCTCATGGCACACATAACCGAATTACTAAAATTCTGCAGGACGCACACACACGACATAAATATATATAGTTGCCATGTATTTTTATAGTTGCCATATATATTTTGTCATATAAATACATATGACAAAAAAGGTATAATTTTGATTCATTCACACATGATGGCTATTGTTGTCTTGGCTGTTCTCATTTCTTCATTTGACAGTCTAAGGGGAAAGAGGTCAGTGCATTGCATGTTTTAAAAATTTTTGTACCGCACCCACTGAAAACCTCTGACTTACAACACCACCGTGAAGCTGGTTAGTTGTAAGTTGTAACATGCCTGAGCATCCTGTTTATTTTCTGATAACAGTGAAATAGCCCAATGCAAGGTGATCCACTGCCTGTTTGAGCTTAGCCTCAGACAGGCCTATCATGACCTACCAGGCCCCGCACAGATGCCACACAGAACAAAGCCAACTCAGTCACCTCCTGCTCAGTGACCAGGGCTGCAGATCCTAGCTCTACACCCACAAATTTTAAGTCAGCTGTCAAGCATTCTTCAGTCTTATTCTTCTGAAAAGCAGGAGCTCAGGCCTTGAGTGTGTCCAAAATCAAAGGGAAAATTAAGGATCATCTAATCCACATGCCTGCTTTTATAGATGGAAGAACTAAACTGAGGCTCAGGGAGGTTAAATGATCTCCCAAGGTCAGTAGCTGCCAGTTGTCAAAGCCAGAATAGGACTGTCTGATTATGGAGCCTAAAATCCTGGCTGCTCTGCACTGACGATTTTGGGCAGGGTCTGATTTTTATCAAGGCCTCAAGTTCAGAACTCTGATTGCAACATTTGCCTTTCTCTCACCAGCACTTGGGGCAGAACCAATGCTCCATTTGTTGAATGAATGAAAGCTCAGAGGAAGATAAGAAGTTAACCAAGGCTTTTCGTTCTCGTTTTCAGGTTTGCCTTGAAAACTTACTGTATCAGTCATGGTTCTCCGAAGAAACACAACCACCTGTACGTGTGTGTGTGTGCGTGTCTGTGTAAGGAGAGGTCCAGAGTGAGACAGATTGACCAAGGAAGTGGCTTGTGTGGCCGTGGAGGCTGACGACTCCAAAACCTGCAAAGCAGGCCAGCAGGCGGGAGGCTCAGGAAGGGGAACTGTTGCCGCCTGAGTCCAAAGGCCTTCCACTGACTGGATGAGACCCACTGACGTGGAGAGTAATCTGCTTTACTCAAAGTCTACTTACTAAAATGTCAGTCTCATCTAAAAAACACCATCACAACGACACCAAGATATGTTTGACCAAGTAAGTGTCTGGGTACCATGACCCAGCCAAGGTGACACATAAAATTAAGTCACATTTGTGTTCCCTCCTGGCCACCACAGTCTGAAGGAAACCTTAAACCAGATCATTGTCTGTCTAGATGAAAAAAACATCCTCTCGGCTTCTAAAACAGACTGGAAAAGACAGAACTGCAAGAAACCAAGGTTTGGTCTAGAGTCCTGGTAGCCGTGGGGACCATAAGCAAACCTCTGAGCTATGTTCTGGGGCGGAGGGAGCGGCCCAGCGGAAGGCCAACTGAGAACCGAGGGCGTCAGCTGAGAAGAGGCAATCCTCGGTTCACTCTGAAAAATGCTTAACAGAGCTGCCGGAAGGTGGAGGCGAGCTTTCTCGGATGTTGTGAGCTCCCTAACACGGAGGTATACGAGCAGTGAGATGTGGCGGAGGGCTCTTTTGAAAAGGTGGAGGTCTGCAGAGACAGAGGGAGTGGGCGCACCGTGGGACAGTGTACAGGGCCCTCGGCTGGCACTGAACAGCACTAAACCGTGGCTTCTTGTCCTGCTTTATCTCACTAGTTTGCCACCTGGCAGCCCTGCTCCCTAGGTCTTCTGAGCCCAAAAGTGAATGAAAGAAGTTGAAGGAGATATTCTCTGAAGTAAATTGCACTTCCAAAATGCTTTCAAAGCTAACTAAGGCTCAAGGATGTTGAGATTATTACAGTTTTGAGTTAAAAGCATATACTGTGTGGGGGGAGCCATCTTGTTCCATTCATGGACTTGTCCTGACTGAGGTACCAGCTCCCTCCTTACAGACCCCTAAACAGCCCACTTCTTTCCAAGAAGTCAGGCACTGGGCACCTCGGCTCCTGAGAGTCCCCTTTTCTCTCTCCCTCCCCTTCTCTTTTCCCCTGGAAAAACTCCCAGATTCTTTTTGCTCTATAGATCCTTGGGCACAGTGCCTCCAACTCTTTGGGGGAGCCACACTCTGCTTGTTCACTCTCCAAAGAAATAGGCGTTGAGCCCGAAAACCAAGGCAGGCATTTTTATTTTAGTTATAGCTTTTTAAATTGTAGCTGAAAGACCTCTTTGAGCTAATGAATGATTAGGCAAGGAGGTAAAATGCTGGAATTTTCCAAACATGTGGAATTTGAGATAAAACAAACTGAGCAAACAGGAAGAAAGAAAAGGAAATGGAAGGGCTGTGCTTTGTAGCTTTGAAGTGAAGCGCCAGTCATGTGGTCTTATTAGTGTGGTTATAATTATGTGAATCAATTCTCATGGCTTAATTCCAAAGTGTTCAATTATTACACAGTCATGTCTCTGAGAGAGGAAAGAATGCCTATTACTGGCAGATACCCTCCGTCCCGTCAGTCGAGTCTTTGAAGTAAATATGGTTTCAAGGAAAAATACACAGGGTGGGGCAGAAGTAGATTTGCAATTGTTTGTATGGAAAATAATACAGTAATTAATAAATAATAATACGAGACTAACTCCATGTTTTGCATACTCACAACTGTAAACCTACTTTTGCCCCAACGTGTAAATATAAGCCTTTGCCTTTACTTTCTTCCAAAAATATTATTTGTAATTTAAAAAAATCCTCATCCAAGGACATTTTTTTTTCATTGCTTTTAGAGAGAGAGGAAAGGAGAGGGAGAGATGTCGATGGGAGGGAGAAGCATCAGCTTGTTGCCTCCCACACATGCCTGGCTGGATTGGGGATCACACCCTCAACCTACATATGTGTTCTGACTGGGAATCGAACCTTCAGCCTTTAGGTTATAGGACGAAGCTCCAACCAACTGAGCCATACCTGCCAGGGTTCAAAAAAGATTATTTAAGAACGCTTCTTGAGCAATTACCATGTAGGAAGTGTTTCACATACATTATACCATTTAGTCCTTGCAACAATTCTATAGTGAAAATATTATTACCCCCCATTTTACATGTGAGAACACAGAAGCCCAAAGAAGGTTAACTTCTTTTAGATTAGCCAGTAAGTGGCCGAACTGATTCTAAATGTCCTACACCTGACTCTTGCTGAACCAAGTGCTCTCTGGACCTCTGTCTTCTACTCTGCCAAATGGGGTGCTTCTTACTCTAGCTAGTGCACACGGCCGTATACAGAGGCACAAGCAAACCATTAAATGCATGGCTGTGGTAGACAATAGCGTACAATGATTGGAATAATCAAAAGGGAAAACTGTGTTGACGCCTGAACAGTGATATTAAATTTTAGTGTCCATAAATAATATTGATTTACTTTAAATACGCATGTAAGTTTGAACTGTCCCTCCAGATTCACCCTGCACACACTTCTCCACCCTGCGGTGTATGTGGGGTGGTACCACGTCAGCCCGCATCAGTGCGCCCTGTGGCAGGCACCGTCGACGCCCTGCCCAAACTCCGCACACCTCGCCCACTTCAGTTCTGCCCAGAATTGCAATTGCCCATGAGAAAGGCCAGTCTGCCAGCCTGTCAATCCAAAAGTACCCAAGAAATAACTCAATCCCAGGTACAGCGATCAACCAGGCTTCAGAGGCATAAATGCACCCAACTGCTTCAACCTTGGTGGAATAATCCTGGGGCATGTGTTTACACTGGTTCTCAGAGTTCCTCTGTGGGAGTAAACCCCTATTATAGAGCTGGCTCAATAACACAATCTTATTGGCCACCTTCTCTTCCCTGTATCACTTCCTCATTCCTCTGCTGGTGCACCCTGAATCTCTCAAATAAATTTCCACTTAGACTTGCACTTAAACCCTTATCCCATAGTCTGCACCTGAGCGAACCCACACTCAGACTTTCTTGATATCTGGCTTCCTGTTGGGTTCAGCTAAGAGGGAAGTGCCCACAAGTGGGGGGAGGGTGGTGTTTTGAATTCTATCCTCCCCTTTGGGGTGACCAATGACTGGCTGTGTCCTGGACCCAAAGGTCCAGCTCCTACCTCTTGGTTCCAGGAAGCGCTCCCTCTTTTTACTCCTTCAGGCCATAAACAGCACCCCACCTTCACTAGACCTGGGGTGTTGCAATGTTCCTTGGGATCATTTTGCAAACCCCACTTACTATTTTGCAAATAGTCCCTTCATTAAACCTTTCTCAAATTCCTATTTTAGCCCACCACCTGCTCCTGTTGGTATCACAGTGATTCAGCAGGATTAATGACTTCTGGATTTGGCCTTAGAGAGTGAGGATAGGTGGGGTGCGCACAAGGCAAAGACAAGAAAGGAGGAGGGAGCAGAGGTGT